AAGAGCTAAAAGAACCCATGAAGCCTTGGAGCAAATGGTGATTAATCTGATGGAAGCCTAATTGTGTGATGTGGCCCAATCTACGGAGGCCCAGATGGGGAAAAAAATGATGGCCTGCATTGCTAATCTAGACTGAGGATAATGGACCTAATTTGAACCCTAGACCTCAAGCTTAACTATACCTCATGTATCCACTGAAGCAAGTTACATATGCTTGAGATACTAGGAATTTAGTTTTCTTTTATGTGCTTCCAGAGGCAAAATAACTAGTTGTATTTATAATTTTGAAATTGAATGAAAAAGGTATAATGTTATTTCAGATTTGTTAGAGCGTGAGATAAACTCTCTACTAGGGTTCTTGCTTGAACCATCGATCTTACCAAGAATTGTTCTAGTTCTTGTGACGATCAAACCGGTTTATCAAACTTTCAGTTTGTGGCGTCTTTGTTGTTATCGTTTTATCTTTCTTTTTGTAAGTCTTCTTTTTTCTAAAGTCGAATTTAGATAATTTTGTTGTTTGTTCCTGTTTTGGTTCTAATTAGATCACGCTTGTATCTTATGAAATACTAGACCATTTTTGATGTTTAATATGCCAAAATTGCAATTCAAAATGTCACTATTTTTCTCGTTTTAATAACACTCAATTTCTGACCCTAAATAGATCCTTTATCCATTCTAGTAGGGAAAATCACATCAAGTACAATACAACAAAAAATAGTAACGAGTAAAACAAAAAAATAATAAAATAAAAAAGCTAAAATGAGGGCTAACAACAAGGAAATTCTCACAAATGGGACTTGAGTCAACTATATAAGAAACTATGACACTAATTTCAACCAAAAATCTTAAGGTATTATGTTATGGATTTTTCTCACTTATAAGTTACTAAATTTTCCTATTTTTATCCAATATGAGACTTCAAACACATTTGAATTCTTAATATCTCCTTTCAAGTGTGATCCCCTTTTACAATGATACACCACTCCCTCGAGCTTAACCGTGAGTATCCAGTAGTAACCTTACTTGTACCATCAGTTCAACTTAACGGGACTTGCACTACAAAAAAAATGCTTATTATCTACGGGTAAAATCCGTAGGTAATGACAAAAATCCATAGGTAATATCACTTTACCTACGAATTTTTTTACAACCCCCTCCCTTATTTTTTAGAACTTTGGATTATTATTAGATTAAGGGAATTATCATTGGCAAGATTTGAACCCAATACCTCGAGTTGGAGGCTGATACTCCAACCACTAAACTATTAGGATATTTTGATAATAATTTACAAATAAATTATATTTATATTTATCTGTGTAAATATATAAATATAAAAAAAAATATAAAATATATATAAATATAAAAAATATATAAATATAAAATATATTTATATTTTGATATATTTATATATTTATATATTTATATATTTGTATTTATATATTTGTATTTATATATTTGTATTTATATATTTGTATTTATATATTTATATTTATATATTTATATATTTATATATTTATGTATTTATGTATTTATGTATTTATGTATTTAGATATTTATGTATTTATAAATTTATATATTTATATATGTATATATTTATATATTTATATATTTATATATTTACATGAATAAATATAAGTATAATTTAGTTGTAAATTATTATTAGAATATCCTAATAGTTTAGTGGTTGGAGTATCAGTTTTCAACTTTAAGGTACTTGGGTCGATTCTTGCTAGTGACAATTCTTTTAGTTTAATATTATTTATCTACGGATAGTAATTACGTAGGTAATTACCTACGGATAATATCCATAGGTAATGGATAATTACCTACGAATAGAATTCCGTAGGTAATATCCGTAGGTAATGTACAATTTACCTATGGATTTTCATCCGTGGGTAATATCCGTAGGTAATGTAAAATTTACCTACGGATTTTTATCCGTAAGTAATATTCCGTAGGTAATAGGTTTTTTTTTTGTAGTGTTGCTTGCCTGAAGACACAAGGATCCATAATATAAGATTTTTCACCTATTCTTAATCGTACTCAATTGAGCTAGTCACTACATGAACCATCGTCAAGGAAACTAATGCTCTGATCTGATCTCTAGATTCTAAAACCATCAAAACCAGTCAAAGTCATGTTTGCCCTTAGATTAACACCCCTCTTCCAAATTTTGTAAGTGTCTGAATGAGAAATCCTGGAGAGAAAAGGAATCACAGAACTCTTAAAATGAAATGTAACTTCCATGTAGAAGTCTCTAATCCTCTGCATGATCCCTACCAAGCGAGGCAACCATCTGCACCATTTTGCCCAAGTCAAAGGCTAGTAGTGCTTAATTATTATCTTGGCAATAACCTCTTCTCTATTACAAATAGCTTCCTGAAGAGCACTCCATCCCTGCTCATTCTGCAAGACAAAATTAAGTCAAGTTAACAAACGAAGAATCGATCAGGAAGAAGACTAAACATTGGTGCAACACAGGTGCAGTGGTTGGTTATGCGTAATAGTAAGTGGAGAAAAACAGAGCAACCGAAAATACAATGAGAGAAAAGATCTTTTAATGAATAAATAAAAATGAGATATATTATTAAGAAGGAAGTTATACACAATATTTATAATGGTGAGAAATGGGGTAGATATGCGAGAGAAATAATTTGCTTAGATGTAGTAGTTATCTACGCTAAGCAAAAGAAAAAAAGTACAGTACAACAGAAAATAGTAACAGTAAAATAAAGAATCTAAGACCTACCTCCTCTCAAGATGAGAGTCCATGTTGATCATTCCCAGCCTGGAACATAAAAAATTGAATGTTGCTGGTGGAAAGGCCCTAATAAGAATATCAACAAGTTGCATAGTGGACGATATGGGAATAAACTTTACTAATTCGAAGTTAATCTTCTCATGTGCAATATGACAATCAATATCTATATGTTTTCTTCTTTCATGAAAAACTTGGTTAGATGCAAGTTGAATGGTTGAATGGTCATCACAATATACTAAAGCAGGTTTGGTGTAATTTATCTATAAATCATTCAAAAGATACATTAACCATGGTAGCTCATAGACTATTGATGTTAAAGTATGATACTCAACTTCTAAGGAACTTCTTGACACAATTGGTTGTTTTTTTATTTAGTTCCAAGATAATGGTGAGTTTCCAAGATAAGTTGATATATCTAGTAATTTTCTTGTATTTACATAACTAACCCAATATGAATCACTATAAGCTTTGAGTTGAAGATCACTATTGGTAGATAGAAAAATTCCTTTTCCTAGGGTACCCTTAAGGTAACGAAGAATCCTTAAAGCATCTTAGTGATGATTTGAAGTGTGAGACAGATAAGTCTGCCTATAAGTCTTCTAAAGAATGTTGAATCTTTTAAAGTTTCTCCATTGTTGAGAGATAGTTTTGTTGCATGATTCACAGGTGTGATGACAAACGTGAAAAATATCATACCAGCATCCTCAGGTAAGTCAAGAGTATATTTTCTTTGACAAAGATGAATTTCAACACTACTCCTTGTCACTTATAAACCTAGAAAATATGTTAGGTTGCCAAGATTTTTAATTCTGAATGTTTTGTCAAGGAGATTTGTTACTCTTTCGATTTCAACAATATCATTTCCAACAAGAATAATGTCATCTACATAAACTAATATTATTGTTTTGTTTGTATTATTGCAGTTTAAGAATAAGGAATGATCTGCGTTAGAATGATTGTATCCTTATGCAAGAAGAAAACCTGATAATTTTTCAAACCATTGCCTACTTACATGTTGAAGTCCATAAAAAGATTTATGTAATGCAAACCTAATGGAAAGACGTTCCTTTCATATTGGGAGGAATACACAATAAATATTTTCACATAACTCACCGTGTAAGAATGCATTATTGACATCTAACTGTTTAAGATGTCATCCACTTGTAATAGTAATGGATAGTAGTGTTCTCAAATAGGTTAGCTTAGCTATAGGAGAAAAGGTGTCCATAAAGTTAATTCCTTTAAGTTGTAAGTAATCTTTGATAACAAATCTTAGCTTGTATGTGTACATTGTTCCATCAACTTTAGCTTGTATGTGTACATTGTTCCATTAACTTTACGGTTGACTTTATATACCAGTTACAACCTATAACAAAATTGAAAAAAAAGATTGAATTTGGTAGTAAAAGTTACCATTAAAGTGCATATGGGTTTTTTTGTTACAATTGTATTTATAAGTTGACATATGAAAATTGGCTTAGATGACTTTTAGATATTAAGAAATGTCGAAACTTTGTACTTAAATAATAGATTGTAAAACTTATGATTAATCCGAAACTAATTTAGAGCATGTTAGTCCTTATTTCAATTTTTTCAAAAATTATTACACCAGTTAACTTATCTGAATTAATTATAAATATTAATTACAAAATTTTCCTTTAAATATTTATTATAACTATTTAAACACCGATACTTCATATTAAATACGACTCTGCATTCAAAACTTTAAAATCGTATGAATAATGGTAATTCTCTTTTACATTATATATCTATACGTGACATAAAAAATTATTATTTATTTTAAATAGTATTCAACCGAGTTGATTCTCACAAAATAATTATAAATAAAATTTGATATTATTTAATTTAAAAATTTAAATGATTATGCATACTTTTCAGATATGAATTATTCAAATTTTTTTATTCGTGACTAATGAAGATTTCTATTCTTACTTAAGATTCCAAAGAGATTTCAACTGAGTCTAAAATCAAGAACGTTGAATTGACGTCAGTGAGTAAAATGTGAAATCTATCGAACTCTACTTGATGAATTGCTTTGTTCATCTCTTATTGTATATTTTATTTGGTGTGAAACTGAAGCAAGGCTTTTGTTGTTCTATATAAGTTTCTTTTGAACACCGAGTTCTTCAACTTCATAGCTCTTCAATTCGCAGGTAAGTCTCATGAGAGTGTAGTCAATCAGTTTTCTACGAGACAAAGTTCTCCCAAACACTTCAAAATGGCTTCTTCAGCGATGGAAACCTGCAAATCAGAAGATATGCACATGCAGGTGGACATTGAGAAGAACGCACAAGACGTACGGTCTCAGTGGGTTCTTAACGCTCCTGAGCCCCCAAGTCCATGGCGTGTGGTTGCAGATTCTGTGAGGAAAACCATCTCTCACTATAAACAAAAGTTTTCCTCTCTCACAGATCAACCCTGCACCACAATCCTCCTGTCAGTTCTGCAGGTTGTTTTTCCTATTCTTGCTTGGGGCAGAAACTACACTGCCACTAAGTTCAGGAAGGATCTTCTTGCAGGCCTCACTATTGCTAGTCTCTGTATTCCCCAGGTATAAATGACATGTCATTCTAATTAGTTTACAATCATGCTAAACTCCCACTTGCAATTGATATATCTCTTGGCTTGGAATAACTCTACTTCTACTTCTGTTTGGTGTTTTCAATTTTCAACATAGAGCATTGGATATGCAACCTTAGCACATCTTGATCCACAATATGGCCTTTGTAAGTCACTTTTTTTCCTCCAACTTATTATCACCACCTTTTTTTAATATGTTCAGTACTTGTTATCGTTTTCTTACTAATTTGTGTAATAAAACCATACAGATACAAGTGTGGTACCACCACTTATCTATGCTGTGATGGGAACTTCTAGAGAGATAGCAATTGGTCCTGTGGCAGTGGTTTCTTTGCTGTTATCCTCAATGATGGAGAAATTAGTAGACCCTGCATCTGATCCAGTGGGTTATACAAAGCTAATTCTGCTTGCTACTCTCTTTGCTGGTATCTTTCAGACTTCCTTCGGACTCTTCAGGTGAACAATTAACATAATCCATATTTACAGAATGGGTGATTAGTGTGATTTATTAATTTATTATTGAGAGTGATACTTTTTTGACAATTAACAATTTTGAACAGGCTGGGGTTCCTTGTGGATTTCCTATCCCATGCTGCAATAGTTGGATTTGTGGCAGGAGCAGCCATTGTGATAGGGCTTCAACAGTTGAAGGGACTCTTAGGAATCAGCCATTTTACGACAAAAACCGACATAGTCTCTGTCATGAAAGCTGTCTGGGAAGAAGTTCACAATCCCGTAAACTACTTCCCCTGTCCCTTTCCTTTTTCTTTCTTTTCCCTAGAAATTGGAGCTGCTGGGGAGCTAAGAAGAAAGATAGTTTTGGGACACCAGATTATTCCACTCATAATAATAAATAATAAATGTAACAAACTGTTTTTACACACAGAACTCATTTTAAAATTTTAAAAGTCACTCCTCACTCTTTCTAGTTTAGAAGTAAATACTAGCACTCATCTAGTCACCTGCATCCGTTTATATAAAAAAAAAAATAGTAAATCCTAAGAAATAGGGCTCTTATTATGATTTCATCTGTCCAAGGTTCCAAATTATGAGGCACAAAATTTCCATTCAAGAACTAATTAAATATGGTTTCCTCATGCATATTAATGATAGCATATACATGTTGAATTACAGTGGAACCCTCGAAATTTTATCCTCGGATGCTCGTTCTTGGTCTTCATCCTAACAACGAGATTTCTGGTGAGAAAAATAATTGAATCAGATTTGAATTCCCTCCCTCTTATTTGCATGGAGTTCTGGTTGGGTTCTAGTATGAAATTCATTCTAATTAATTCCCTTACCAGGGTAAAAAGAAGAAGAAACTGTTCTGGTTGGCATCAATCTCTCCTCTTGTGTCTGTTATTTTGTCAACTCTACTTGTGTTTTTGACAAGAGCTGATAAAAATGGAGTTAAAATTGTGAAACATGTCAAAGGAGGATTAAATCCAATCTCCATCCATCAGTTAGACTTCAACAGTCCCTACATTGGAGAGGTGGTCAAAATTGCACTAGTGGTTGCTGTCGTTGCCCTTACCGTGAGTGACAAATTATAATTATCATATATGAAACACTCAACTTAAGACAATATATCTTTTTTCCATATTAATTCGCTTTATAATTTTATTTTTTTTTCCACTTCATGTTGATTATAGGAATCTATTGCTGTTGGGCGATCCTTTGCATCCATCAAAGGATACCAACTTGATGGAAACAAAGAGATGATGTCAATAGGTTTGACAAACATCGTAGGATCTTTCACCTCCTGCTACGTCGCAACTGGTATAATTCTCTTACCAAAACATGTATATTCTATTGCATTTCTCACAATTTACCAATACAGTGTGTTGAAGGACAATATATACACGAAAGATTCTTATAATCTCTAAAGCATAAGAATCTATATTCCAAAATCATTGCATAATTGAATTAATAAATTCATAGGACGTTGTCCTCCTTTGACCTCTTGTTATTGGAAAAAGTGAAGTAAGATGCATTAGAGAGGTAGCTAGTAAAATGATTGACACCCAAGTTGTTTTTGTTTAATTGATTGTGGCAGGTTCGTTCTCCCGCACTGCTGTTAATTATGCAGCTGGGTGTGAAACTCTGGTGTCAAACATTGTGATGGCCATCACGGTCTTGTTATCACTGCAGTTTTTGACAAAGCTCTTGTATTACACTCCTACAGCTATTCTTGCTTCTGTGATCCTTTCTGCTCTCCCGGGACTTATTGACGTCAGTGAAGCCTACAAAATCTGGAAGGTTGATAAGATAGACTTTCTTGCTTGTGCTGGTGCCTTCTTCGGGGTACTGTTCGCTTCTGTAGAGATTGGTCTGCTAGTGGCGGTAATCATTGCCACTCTCATCTCTTCTATCTTCTGATCATGCCTTCACTCCCAACCAATTATGGTCATCACTATAAAACAGTAAACATGTTCAATATTTTCTTCATTTAATATAATTAATTCCTTATTTAAAATAAAAAAGTAAAACATTTTTTATTTTTCAATCATATATTAATATTTGTCATTCATTCTATATATCCCGTGTTGTATGAGTAATATATACACACACACTAATGTGCATTTAGTTTCACTGAGCCCTCAAATTAAGTTTATTACTTCTATATTCCTGAAGAATTAGCATTAGCATCATTTGCCACCATATATAAATTCATATATATTTGTGAAGGCACCGAAACTCAGATTTTAAACATTATAAAACGCAATAATATTTCAACAGTGTAGGCACAACAACACTAAATGAGTGGATATCCAAAAGCTTCTATCTATGGTTGTACTGTTTAAGAGTATGGTTGTTAGCCGAAATAAGAAATTCTAGTATTCATAAAAATTTGGGTGATGGCATGGGCCAAAGCCTAAGTTGTACTTCATATAACAAGCAATCTCCACCATTTCACTGGACCCACATATTTGGCACTATGGGTGATGCAGAATAGACGTGCACCGTTGAAAACTGCATATTCTCTTTGGTTGGACATATTTATACCTTGAAAACTAAAGCCACCTAAAAAATTCTCTAAATGGAATGATATTCCTTGCTAGGAGTGCAATCACTTGACTGAGATGTTTAATATAAAAAGTGTTTAACAAATCACTAACACTTAAAGTTAGTAGGTCAAATAGTTTCTTTGTTTTAAGTGGCATCCTTTTCTCTTTTGGAAGTGACAGTTATATGCACAAATTCGTCGACAAATTATTAATTAAGGTTGTTGTCAAGAAGAAAATAAACAACCTCCACACTTGCTACAAGATACTTAAAACAAATTAATAAAGGAAAAATATTGCTAAGGCCAAAGGGGTGATAGATAGAGTTTACATCGTTTTTTAATTATAAACAATCATGTATAATAATTTTAATTTGTTATTTATAATACTTTCTAATGAGTTGATAGTATGAAAAAAATAAATTATTCTTCATAGAAATTAAAGTGTCTTGAATAAGTGTGCTTCAAAATTTGGATTTTCTTAATTTGTAGGTGGTTATATCTTTTTCAAAGATCATTCTCATCTCAATTCGACCAGGTACAGAAACTCTGGGAAAACTTCCGGGAACTGATTTGTTCTGCGATGTCTATCAGTATCCCATGGCAGTGACGATTCCCGGGGTTATGATAATACGAGTCAAGTCTGCGTTGCTTTGCTTCGCAAATGCCAATTTCGTTAGAGAAAGGTATTTGTCACATAAAATAAGTACTATCCCTGGTTGGAAGGATCGAATGAGAGATCAATGACTAATATTCGAATCTTGAATAAATGTTTCAAGGATCATCAAATGGGTCTCCGAGGAAGAATCAGAAGATGACAAGGGAAACTCAAGAAGCACCATTCAACTCGTAATTCTTGACACCTCCAGTAAGTCTTTCTGACTCTAAGTTATTAACATACAAAAGAGGCTATTGATATTTTCACCAAAAGGAAAAGAAAAAGAAAATTAAATCAACTAAAAGAATTTGTTGCACCTTTTACTTCTACTAAGTACATATAATTGAATACGTAAAGAAAAACAAATTACGTATTCTCAACAAATGAAAAAAGAAAAGAAAAAAAATATATAACTGATGCTTTATTGGATTTGATCAGAATTGTACAGAAATCACATCTTTTTCAAAAATATACATCTAAACATCTTAGTATATTAGTGAGATTTACAATCTCCGTTGTAGTTTCTTTGATTGAATCATGATGTTTTCTTGTCATAGATTTGGTGAACATTGACACCTCTGGAATTTCTTCTCTAGAGGAACTGCATAAGAGTTTGTCTTCAAATGGAAAACAGGTAACTTCTTTTTTAGACATATTGCTCACCTAAAATAATCGAAACTGGTGATGGTCAAGGAAATTTTCACAGATGTTTTTAAGCTCTAGTAGTTGGGTTATGAACACACAATTAAACTGTTAAGCATTTTCAAGAAGTATAACAATGATGAGCTAATGTTTGTTCTGTTGTTCTCAGTTAGCCATTGCGAACCCTAGGTGGCAAGTGATACACAAGCTAAAGGTGTCCAACTTTGTGGGCAAAATTGGTGGCAGAGTATTTCTGACCGTTGAAGAAGCTGTTGGTAGCAAGAGCCGGTGCTAAATTAAGTTGAGGATCGCAGCTGGCTAAGTCAACTCTTAACGCCTCAGTCTCATGTGTGGCAAAATAAAAAGAAGTTAAAAACAGTATCTAATATCCATTTCTCATTGTGGAAAATCGTATTAGTACTTACGAAATTTGGTTGTATTTCCAGTCCCAAGTAGGCAAGTACGTGATGTACAAACGGGACATTAGAATAAGTAATGTTGTTGCGACCTTGTTGGAGATGCTGTGACTTTCTGCTCATGTGTATGCTTAATAAAACTGCAGTTTGCAGTGGTGTGTGTAAAAGTGCTGGAAAATACTTTTGGTCAGTGTTGGTGGAAGATTTTTAAGCTGAAAAACTACTGAATGTAAGTTCATATTCAGTAGCATTTTGTATGTGCTAAATAGCAGTAGTTAGCATCGCTTTTAATAAAGAATTCATTATAAACGTTGCAAATGTTTTTATAAAACTATAAAAGTAAAAAAGATGATGTGCAAAGTTTTGATATTAAAATACCTACATGCTTTTCTTTTTTATTCTAGGGTTGATTGCAGAGTTGAAAATGGGATAAAAAAAGTTTAGTGGTTGATGTTCTTAGACAGAAAGAAGGGTGGATTCATAGGGTAAGATGATGACTAATACTATGTTTACTGCAGGTACTCAGCATGCACTAAGTTTATGTCAACCTTTTTGTCTCTCTCAACATTCATTACACACTACGCACACCTGCACGCCTCCACCACAGTGTACATTTTGCTAAGGATAGTGATAAAACATGACAACTCATTTTTCATAATTGACTAATCGAATTATCATTTTCCTTTTCTTAACTTGTTATTCTTCACTATCACATCATGTTCTTTCTTTTCATGCAGAAATTTTATATTAAGAAAGTTAGGACTTTTCTAATAAACGGATAAAAAGCATATTAATTAAGTCTTATATTTAAAATCGTAAAACAAAAATCATTGAAACATGTTATAATAAGAATCAATTTTTTAAATAATATATTACATATTATTTAAGTTAGACTTACTTAAAATTCAATAATAAAAAAATAAATTCTTCTAATATAATTATTTTTCTTTTTTTATTGATTTTCTTTTTTTTCTCTCTTTAATTATTTCCATTATTCTTTTTTCTTTGTCCACCTCTAATTCTTGTTTTCTTTTTTCTCTCACTCTATCTTATTCTTTTAATTACAAATACTAAATTAAATTTGATAACATATATCTTTTATTATTTTCAAAAAATAAAAATATTTAAATTATCTTGAAATAATATAATTTAATATATTATATTTAAAGAATATTATATAATAAATTTGAGTTATTTTAAATATTATTGTTATGTTATGTTATAATTATTAAGAAAAAATTAAATATTTATTTTAAATTAATTTTTTAATAAGTATTTTTTTTTAAATTATGTAATCTAACAAATCATCATAATTAAATCTAATTATAATTATATTAAATTACTATAAAAATACATTTTAACTCATAAATATTTAATAACTTTTATTAGATAAATAATTAATTTATTATAATAAAATAATTTTAAACTAATTATTTGAGTCATGGTGAATAAAATTATTTGGTTTTATAATAAATAAAATTATTTACTAGCATTATAATTTTAAATAATTAGTTTTTTTAATTTCAATGTTAATTTAAAAAATTTACCTTAATATGTTTTTATTAAATTTTAATACATCAGTTTTAATTAGAAGAATAAGTGGGAGAGGAGAGAGAAAAAGAAGAGATTTGAGATAGAAAAGAAAAAAAAAATTAAAGAGTGAATGAGGAAAATTAATTATGAGAAAAAAATGCTTGTGAACAATTAAACAAGTGCACTGGGATAAATAAATTGATAGATATTCTATTTTGAGTATTTTTTTTAAATGTATTATGGATAAGATTAATTCTTTAATGTAATATAATATAATAAAGATTTTACATTGATCTTAAAATTTTTATATAAATAAATTAATAAGTTATACAAAGTTGAAGTACAAATAAAGTATCCTTACATCGTGAGTGAATTTATTCATATTGCTTTACTAAATTGATCTAATTTATGAGATTTGGATTGAATGAAATTCTAGCCATTTAAAAAGTATACAATTAATTAGTTTAAAAGAGCAGCAAATTTAAAGTAAAAGGAACAAAAAATCTTGAAATCAAAGTTTACAAAATATTCAACGAGAATAATTAGGGCATAGATTTTCCAATTATTTATGTGAGAAAATTAACTTTCCGACGAATTTTTCAATGATATGTAAGAACATCCACAACCATATGATGATTAGTTAACTTAATTATTTATCTTAACTTTGTAAATTTTATAATGTCATAAAATTGTATCATATACACATTTTAACAAACTAACAAAATTCTATGAATGTGGGTTAGTTATAAAATAAGCAACTCTCAATTGTACTCAATTTGTTGTCGATAGTCCGGTATCTTCCCTCAAAAAAGTCCACACAATCTTTCTATAATAGGGTGATCATGGAGGAAAAAATCTTGCTATAATCCTCACAAGTGATTGAGAATCACTGAGTTGTGGGCTATGAGGATATGGCCCATGGGTTTGCACAAGAAACCCTTTTCTCTTTAAGCAATCTGGGCTTAAAGAATTTAAATGGACTCTATTAAGAAAGGCCCAAAAATACATGCACTGTTGATCCATTTTTGGTGACTTATACATACTAGTACGACAACCTAAAGAGCAAATGTTGCAATTTGATCTGTTTATTTGGAAGTAATTTTAGCTTTTATTTTAGGGTGCTCAAAGTGTACAAAGAACAAATTAATAATCATTGACCATTGATACATACAGAGTTAGTTCTTTTTCTTTCGAAACACAAATTGTAATAACGAGGCTATGGTATTTATCTGTGGAGTCACTCACAACCCATTATTCTAATAAAATAATTCAAATTCATCTAACAATGTATTATAACAACTTTCCCAACTTATTCAATTAAAATATTGAACGCATTTTATATTTTTCAAGATATTAAATGTAATTACTCTTTCATTTAACAATTACTTTATATACTGATTTTCATAATAAACATATTACACATTGCAAATAAAAAATAGAACCAAGTAATCAAACAAGCGCAGCAGAGCTTAGAGGGATAAGTGCTTTTTTAATTCTCTCTACCGCTATCTTTAAAGTAGGAAGGGATTCTGCATAAGAAATGCGGATGCAACTATCATCCCCAAATGCACTTCCCGGCACCAGTGCAACCTGTTGTAGTCAAAACAGCAAAACACCAAGTTAAGGCTTAGGCCACCAAATATCTATGTTTGAACTTCATACACCAGAAGATGATGATGATGAACAGTAGTAATGTTTTACTGAAATGAAATTTGGATGAAGCCTTGCAGATATATTTCAGTCTTTTATAATTATGTGCATGCATGTAATAAATCTTGAATTTATGACTTATATTGATAATATGGCTTGGAGAAAAAATATGAATAAAATCTTAAAAGGTCATTAAATGAGTATACCAGGCTCTTGTCCAGCAGGTATAGACAGAGGGAGTCAGAATTCTGAATTAAACCAAACCCTTCAGCTTCTCTGCCATAATAAGAGCTGAAATCAATGAATAGATAAAATGCCCCCTGAAATTGAAGTAAAGATCACTAGATTTTTAATAAAAGGAAGGAACTATAAACTGAGAATGAGGGTCGAGCAACATGCTAATAAGTTCATACCTGTGGTTCAGATATTTTCACACCATCCATTTTTGAAAAGCTTTCAACCAAGAAATCCCTTCTTTCCCTAAATGCTTTCACCATGGTAGAAACAGACTCCCCACCTGCATAGCCTAGTCCTAATGCGGCAACGCCAGCTTTCTGAGATATGCTGCTTGCCCCTGAAGTGAACTGTATTCAATAACATGCATTTTAGTTAACCAAAATAGAATAGTTAGAAAAATCAGTTAGAAAACTAAGCAGTATCTCTTTTCTCATTTTTTTTTCTTTTCATAATCTGGCTCCTAACAATATATGTCTGAGAATAAAGAGAAACGCCTTGTCCAAACCCTTCAATCGAATGGTGGAAATTTTCTTTGAAAGTTTCCTCTCAAGGCCTAGTATGGTAAAACTAAGCACCTAATAGATTTCTTTGAGCAAAAGGAAATCAAGAAAGTTTGGTTTTGAGTTGTGCATAGTTTAAAAAAAATGAAATACAAATACAGCATACCTGACTTTGAATCTTTCCACAAGCTGCAACAAAATGTTTTGGACCAGCAATATACCCAAGACGCCAACCAGTCATTGCAAATGTCTACAAGAACACAGTTGAAAGCATCATAATTCAGACCTGTGGCTTTTACATTATCATAATTTACAATTATGCTTAGAAATACAGAATTTGGATGGAGCAGAAACAAAAACAAGGGATTAAGAACACAAAAACCAAAACCAACATGCCCAAAAGAAAACTTATACCAATTAGAAATAACAATTTATCAGTAAGAGCATATAGCATTATGGACCAACCTTGGAAAACCCATTCACCGTTAGAGTTCTGTCCCACATTCCAGGTAAAGATGCAAAGCTTGTGTGAGTTGCTGGTGCATAAATTATGTGTTCATAAATTTCATCAGAGATAACCTGTTTAAAACAGCCATAAAGATCTTGAAATGAACTATCATTGAGGAAAAGTGAAAAACGCGTTCAAGCATAATTGGTGCATGCTTTTACCAGAAGCCTGGGGTGCTTTGCTACAATTTGGGCTATCTCTTCAAGTAATTTCTTAGAGTAGACAGAGCCTGTTGGGTTACACGGTGAACAAAGAATAAGTAGTCTTGATCTGCCGGTAATGTTGGCTTCTAGCAGTTTCGGATCCAATAGAAAGTTATTAGATATGTGGGTTGGAATAATCACAGGAATTGCATCCGCTAGTCTTGCCATTTCTGGATAACTCACATAGAATGGACCTGGAATAATAACCTGAATCATTCCAAGCACAAGAAGGTAAATAAAAACCTCCACAGCTTGCACAGGGATAAATAACATCTGTGTAGTAAGTTTTCGAAAACCACAAAATATGATTTTTGTAAATGGAAACAAGTCATAATTTGGGAAAATTTTGATTTGCATAATGTTTAGGGTTGCTGGACCAGGAACATATGATAATCACATGCAATAAGTATAGTAGAGAAATAAAACATTGGACGAAATAAACTACATCTAAGGAAATAAATGCCCAGTTGCAGATTATTTTGAGCAAAAGAAGCCATGTCAATAAGTTCGGACTGATTAGAGAATGATATTAATTTTAACCAAAATCAATTTTGTTATAAACTCACCAAAACATAAACTAAATTCTAAATGCTCGTTGTAGAGTATATAGTGTGAAGGAAGAAGTCCCACATCCGTGGGAACTTCAATTGGGGGCTCTCCTCCTTCTTATAAAAGGAGCCCCTCCCCCCTTATTTCATACATCCCAAATATTTCTCCTTCTTTCTCTTTTACTTTCCTAGTATTGGTAATTTCCAATTGTAAAAGGAAAGAGTGGTCATTATAAAATTTTCATTTTTGCCTATTGTCAGGGTTATTTTTCTCGTCTCTATTTTAGTTGTGTGTATTTATGCTGGTACTCTGATCCTAACAGTGGTATCAGAGCTGCGTTCGAGTTCCGTTGCGCGTCACTAGAATAGTGTTGGTAAAATTCGAGTATGCTCTGTGGTTGCGGTTTAATCGATCTTCCACATCGAGAAAGGAGTTATTCTTGGAAAAGGTGTGGTAGTGTGAAAGTACTATTGAGGAAAGTTACGGCTAGGAAAGACTTGGTACTTAAGCGTGTCCATTAGTGACCCACCTCTCTTTCCGGGAACCTACTTGGTGTCTTGGTTCACGGTCTACTACTATTGTTCCAGTAGACAATACTATTCATAAGTGAAAGTTGCATAAGTGGAAACACAACCATGGCAGCAAAGTACGAGATAGAGAAGTTCAACGGGAACAATTTCTCGTTGTGGAAATTGAAGATGAAGGCAATCTTGAGAAAGGACAATTGCGCAGAAGCAATTGAGGGAAAACCTGCGAAATGACTGGATAAAGATTGGAAGAAAATTGACTGGCAACGCTATTGCAAATTTACACTTGGCAATGGCGAGACTCGGTTCTATCCGAGTGTTGCGGAGAAAGATTCCGCAAAGGAGATTTGGGATGCCCTCATTAAATTATATGAGGTGAAGTCACTTCACACAAGGATATTCCCGAAGAGGAAACTCTATACTCTTCGGATGAGTGAGTCCACATCGGTGACGGACCACATCAACCAACCGAACACCTTGTTTGCCCAATTAGCGGCAGCAAATTTCAACATAGTTGAGAACGAGCGTGCGGAGCTCTTACTTCGAGCTTGCCGGACTCGTATGATCAACTCATCATCAACATTACAAATAATAATATTGAAGGACAACTACACTTTGACGATGTTGCCGGAGCTATTCTAGAAGAAGAATCCAGGCGAATGAATAAGGTAGAAAGTTCTAAACAAGCGAAGTTTTGACGATGATGAGAGGAAGATCAGCGGAACGTGGTTCAAGTGGGAGTCAAGATCATGGCGAGATCTAGCTCTCGAAACAAGAAGACTTTCAAATTTAAATGCTACTACTCGTGGCAAGAAAGGGCACACGAAGAAAGAGTGTTGGAAGAGGAAGAATGAAGAATCAACCTCACAAGGTTGCATTGCGAGTACTTCGGAGGAAGGAGTAATTCGGTAAGCGAAGCGACAATCGGCTCTAATGGCGGAAACGAATTTCATGACAAGTGGATAATGGATTCGGGTGCAACTTGGCATATGACCCCACACCGAGATTGGTTTCAAACCTACAAGCCTATCTCGGGTGGATCCGTGTTCATGGGAAATGACCATGCATTGGAGATTCGTTGGAGTTGGTACTTGTCAAATTAAAAATGTATGACTAGTACTTATTCGCACAATCCAAGAAGTACGACATGTGAAGGACTTGAAGAAAAATATATTGTCTATAGGGCAATTGGATGACCTCTACTGCAAGATCCATGTTGAAGGAGGAATCTTAAAGGTAGTGAGGGGAAACATAGTTGTCATGAAAGCGAGAGAAAATCATGGCAAACTTGTATGTGCTTATGGGAGACACCTTGCAAGAAAATCATGCAACAAGCTGCGTCGACAAGCCAAGAAGAAGCGGCGATAACGTGGCACCGTAGACTTGGACATATGTCGGAGCGAGGTGCTGCAGATTCTTGCGGAACGTGATCTCATACCCGGGCTCAAGAAGGTCGATTTACCCTTCGTGAGCATTGTGTGACAAGCAAACAACACGGGTTGAAGTTTGCAAGAACCACCACAAGGAGTAAGCAAACTTTGGACTTGATCCATTCGATGTCCGAGAATCACCGGAATTATCTCTCGGAGGAGCAAAATATTTTGTGTCGTTCATCGATGACTACTCGAGGAGATTATGGGTATACCCTATCAAGAAGAAGTCCGAAGTATTTGCGCGGTTCAAAGACTTCAAAGCACAAGTAGAACTTGAGACCGGAAGGAGAATCAAGTGTTTGAGGACAGAACAATGGAGGAGAATATGTAGATGGAGATTTTCTAGCATTACGCAAGCAAGAAGGAATTGTGAGACAATTTTACGTTCCACACACGCCTCGCGAGAATGGTGTAGCGAGAGCGGATGAATAGAACTCTTCTAGAGAGAACCGGAGCTATGCTGCAAGCTGCATGCATAACAAAGTCTTTCCGGGCGAAGCCGTGAATACTGCTCGTTACTTGATAAATCGGTCTCCATCAACGAGCAATTGGGTTGAAAACTCCTATGGAAATGTGGAGTGGAAAATCAACCGATTATTCTTCCTTACATGTGTTTGGTTGTCCCGCGTACGTGATGTACAACACCCAAGAAAGGACGAAGTTGGATCCAAAATCCAGGAAATGCATCTTCTTGGGATATGCCGACAATGTGAAGGGGTATCGCTTGTGGGATCCCACTGCCCACAAAGTTATTGTTAGCAGAGATGTCGTCTTTGCGAGAAAATGAGCTGCAAAGCAAGCGGATAAATGACAGCTCGGAAAAGGACAAGACTATAGTACGAGATAGAAGAAGACTTCGGAACATTCATCTGAGTCGGAGGAGGAGCATGAAGAACATGAGCCAAATGAGGTGGAAGAAGGAGAACTCCGACGATCAACAAGAGAAAGAGTCGAGACCATCTTGGCATTCACAATATGTGATGACAAGTCATGATGCGTATTGTCTCCTAAGTGAAGAAGGAGAACCTTCAACTTTTCAAGAGGTCGTGAGTGGTTCGAAGCTCCTCTATGGATGGTCTGCTATGGAAGAAGAAATTGAAGCTCTTCATAAAAACAAGACATGGCATCTTGTGGAACTTCCAAAAGGTCGCAGAGCCATTGGTTGCAAATGGGTCTATAAGATCAAGAGAGATGCCAATGATCAAGTAGAAAGATATCGTGCTAGGACTGGTGGTAAAAGGATATGCTCGGAAAGAAGGCATTGATTTCAACGAGATATTCTCACCGAGTTGTTAGATTGACAACAATCGGAATTGTCCTGGCGATGTGTGCTTGCATTTGATTTACATCTTGAGCAATTGGATGTAAAAGCTGCTTTTCTTCATGGAGAACTTGAAGAGAAAATATATATGCTCCAACCGGAAGGCTTCAAAGAGCAAGAAAACTTGGTTTGCGGGTTGAACAAATCTCTATACGGTCTAAAGCAGGCGCCAAGGTGTTGGTATAAGAGATTTGATTCCTTCATTATTAGCCTCGGATACTACGGACTAAGTTCGGACCATTGTACTTACCACAATAGGTTTGAAGAAAATGATTTTATCATATTCTTGTTGTATGTGGATGACATGTTGGTGGTAGGCCCTAACAAAGCTCGAATCCAAGAATTGAAGGCACAATTGGCTAGGGAGTTTGATATGAAGGACTTGGGACCAAGCAAACAAGATCTTAGGGATGCAAATTCATCGAGACGAGAAAAGATAGGAAGATTTGGCTTTCTCAAAAGAATTATTTACTTAAGATCTTGCGGCGCTTCAACATGCAAGATTGCAAGCCAATTTCTACCCCACTTCCTGTCAACTGTAAGTTATCCTCAAGTATGAGTCCTAGCGAGTGAAGCGGAGAGGATCGAAATGTCTCGAGTACCGTATGCATCGGCAGTGGGAAGTCTTATGTATGCCATGATTTGTACAAGACCGGACATTGCACAAGCGAGTGGGAGTGGTTAGTAGATTCATGGGGAATCCTGGTGGAGAACATTGGCAAAATGTGAAGAGGGTCCTTAGGTATATAAAAGGAACCTCAAATGTTGCATTATGTTATGGAGGATCGAAGCGGTTGTCGGAGGTTATGTAGATTCGGATTTTGCAGGTGATCTGGATAAAAGGAAGTCTACTACTCGGTTATGTGTTTACCATCAATGGAGGGGCGGTAAGTTGGTTATCCAAGTTACAAGATGTGGTAGCTCTGTCTACTACGGAAGCTGAATACATGGTCGTCACCCAAGCATGTAAAGAAGCTATCCGGATTAAAAGAATAATGGGGGAACTTGGTCACAAGCAACAACAAATTGTTGTGTCTTGTGATAGTCAAAGTGCCTTACACATTGCAAGGAATCCAGACCTTTCATTCGAGGACAAAACACATAGGAATAAGATATCATTTTGTTCGAGAAGTAGTAGAAGAAGGAAGTGTAGACTTACGTAAGATCCACACCGAAAAGAACCTAGCAGATGTAATGACAAAACCTAGGTTAATGCCGACAAGTTTATATGGAGTCGATCCCTCTATGGCCTATCGGAAGCATAAGCAACATGGATGTGAGAGAAGAAGACATAGTGTGAAGATTTGATTAATTTCATCAAAATCTTCAAGTGGGAGATTGTGAAGGAAGAAGTCCCACATCCGTGGGAACTTCAATTGGGGGCTCTCCTCCTTCTTATAAAAGGAGCCCCTCCCCCCTTATTTCATACATCCCAAATATTTCTCCTTCTTTCTCTTTTACTTTCCTAGTATTGGTAATTTCCAATTGTAAAAGGAAAGAGTGGTCATTATAAAATTTTCATTTTTGCCTATTGTCAGGGTTATTTTTCTCGTCTCTATTTTAGTTGTGTGTATTTATGCTGGTACTCTGATCCTAACATATAGGTGTTTCATACCTCATCTCCTGGGGAACAAACTGCAAGCACTGCTTGAACAACACTCTGCTTCGCTCCATTGCTGACCACAATCTCATCGGGAGTATATGTAATTCCATTCTCCTCTGCAGAAACAGTCATGTGACATTTTTCAACTCCTAATCTCACATAATAATCATAATAATAGTAAAATAATATGAGAAATACACACGTGAAGCATCTAAATTCTGAAGTAACCTTTTAACTTGTGACAAATTGCTTGGCGTAATTCTAAGGTTCCAGCATTAGGAGTATATCTCGTGTAACCATCACGAATTGCATTCATCCCAGCCTATCATCCCCATACAGGTCATGACATGATTCATGATACAATACAGAAAGAAAAGGGACAAAAGAAAGAAAAATAAACACATTTATTGACAACTTTTACAAAAAAATGGAAATTTACAAAAGAGCTCACCTCAGCTATAACAGCGGGTGTGTCAAAATCAGGTTCTCCAGCAGCTAAACGAATAACCGGGACTCCAGTTTGTAAAAGAGAAGTGGCATGATCACTTATGGCCATAGTTTTGGAAGGTTTCACAGCATTAACTCTGTGGCTCAAAGAAACATCAACTTCTATGTCAGCAGAATCACTCTTATTCTTTGCCTTTATCACTACCACCCTTTTGTTCAGCTCCACGTGATTTCCTTTCTGCATGGCTCTACAAAGGCAATAAAAGCATTCATTAGCATCAACAATTAAAGTGATGCTTAAGTCGAATGACACAAGGGAATTGAAGTAACCTGAAAGAAAGTGTGGATAGGGATGGAAAAACGCATCGAGAAATGGAATATTGGTCTCCAAACGTGAGTGTGAGGATGGCGGCGTTATGTAGTGTGTTGGCCATGGAAAATGATAAGAAGCTTTGTATGCAACGTTGAAACACCAAGAAAAGAATGAAAGTGCATCATATAAATAGAAGGGGTATGGGAAGATGTGAAGATGAAGTTGGTGGGAGAATTGGCGCGTGCTTAAGTGAGTAGGAAGAAACAAAGCAAAGCTAAGGGGAACTTCTCTCTTTCTTCAAGTCTCTGTCTCTGAACGTAAACAAATACTAATTTGTTGTTTGTGTTGGTCAACAATGTACAATTCAACTTCACCAACTTAAAATGCAAGCGTTAAAATTTCCTATTTATTCATAGGTTGAAATTATAATATCTTTTTTAAGAGATCTTTTTCTATAACAACTAATGTGTTCCCCACTAAATATTACTTCATATTAAAAAGTGATAACAATAGAGTTTGAACCCAAATCACTTAGTCAAGAAACTACCCCTTATGTCAATTATAATTCATTATTTTCTAATACTGAATTTTACAAATTTTAAAAGAAATTATCACAAATAAAAAATAACTTTATTTTGCAATATAAATTATTTATTATAATTTATAATTTATATGTTTAAACCTAAAAAAACTTTTTAAACTATTTATTTATTATAAAATTTAGTTATATTGTAATTTATATTCAAAATATTTATTATTATTATTTAAATTGTCGTTATATATGATTAGCATTTATAATCCTAACCATTCACCAGACTGAATAATTACTAGTAAAAGAAGTATATAAAATTAGCTTGAGTGAATAGTTAGAAAATGGCAGGTAGAGATGAGATTTCAGATACATGATTGTGATCAACGATAATAATTTTACATCATCCAGAAAATTAATATTCAAGATTCTTCATTTCTTCACTTTGTTATACCTAGCAAAAAGAAAAGAAAAGGTAAGAACCCCATGTACGAATACAATAGTCAACCACGACCCATTATTCTCCTAAATTAATTTTAAATTTTTCTATAATGTATTTATGTAAATCTTCTTATTTAGAAAGAAATGGAAAGTTGAATGCATTTTTTTTTCATTTAAGATTTTATTCAAAAGTATCAAAAAGATTTGTAAGAAAATATAATAAGAGGATGCCATACTATTCATTTTCATGATAAACATTAGTAAAGATAATGCAACTAAAACATAAAACACAAGTAGAAGAAGAATGCAATTGCCATTATTTAAACAAACGCAGAAGAGCTTAGAGGGATGAGTGCTTTCTTAATTCTCTCTACTGCTATCTTTAAAGTAGTAAGGGATTCTGCAAAGGAGATGCGGATGCAATTATCATCTCCAAATGCACTCCCCGGAACCAAAGCAACCTGGTATGAGTCAAAACATAAAAAACACCAAGTTATGACCAAGGCTATTATGTGTCTTAAGTTCGAACATAATATACACAGTTAAAAAGATGATGATTAATGCTTCATTGACAAGCAACATGGATGAAGCCTTAGAGAGTTATTTCAGTCTTTTATATTTGTCTGCACATATAGTAAGTCATGAATATTGTGCGGGGAAAATCACTTCAAATTTTCCAGTTGATAAAACATCACTACAATCTTGAAGGACATCAAATGAGTATACCTGGCCCTTGTCCAGCAGATAGTGACAGAGGGAGTCAGAATTTTCAATTAAACCGAACCCTTCTGCTTCTCTTCCATAATAAGAGCTGAAATCAATGAATACATAGAATCCTCCCTGAAAGTGGAAGAATGGTAAGAAAAGGAGAAACAGAAAATAGAGAGGATGACAATCAAACAACTTTCACACCTGTGGTTCACATATTTTGGCACCACCCATATCTCTAAAGCTTTCAACCAAGAAATCCCTTCTTTCCCTGAAAGCTTTCACCATGGTAGAAACAGCTTCCCCGCCAGCATAGCCTAATCCTAACGCAGCAACCCCAGCTTTCTGAGATATACTACTTGCCCCTGATGTGAACTGTGCTTAATAAAATGTGTTAGATATCCCCAAACGTCAAAAGTTTGTTAAGAGTTTGCTATATTAGAGTATCAATAGTTAGTTAGAATAATCAATAGTTTAGAAAAGGCGAAAGGATAAATACGCGCACGAGGTAGAGGAGTGGGGACTCTGTCTTGTATCATTTGAGAGTACTAAGCAGGTATAATTTGTTAAAACATATAATCTTTTTTCATTTCTCATTAAATATCTATTAGATGTCTTGGAGGTTATGCATAATTCATCAAATGGAAATGAAAAAAACAGCATGCCTGGCTTTGAATCTTTGCACATGCTGCAACAAAATGCTTTGGACCAGCAATATACCCAAGCCGCCAACCAGTCATTGCAAATGTCTACAAGAAGACAGTTGAATCATAATTCAGACCTGAGACTTTCTTCATTCGAAGAAATACATAATTTGCACCAAGTAGAAAACGAAAACAAGAGATGAACAACACAACCAAACGAAAATTGATATTAATTAGAATTTACATTCAATCAGTAAAAGCACATATCATTACTGACCAACCTTGGAAAGTCCATTCACAGTTAGAGTTCTGTCCCACATTCCAGTTATAGATGCAAAGCTTGTATGAGTTGCTGGTGCATATATCATGTGTTCATAATTTTCATCGGAAAGAACCTGAATACAACAGCCACAGAGATCTGTAAGGAGCTATCATTGAAGAGAACACATTTCAAGTATCATGGATGTATGTCTGTACCAGAAGCCTGGGGTGCTTTGCTACAATTTGGGCTATCTCTTCAAGTAATTTCTTAGGATAGACAGATCCTGTTGGGTTACATGGTGAACAAAGAATAAGAAGTCTGGATCTTTCGGTCAGGTTGGCTTCTAGCAGTTTGGGGTCCAAGATAAAATTGTTCGATATGTGGGTTGGAAGAATCACAGGTGTTGCATGAGCCAGTCTTGCCATTTCTGGGTAACTCACATAGAATGGAGCTGGAATAATAACCTGAAACATTCACAACACAAGTTAAATGAAAGCCACCACATCTTGCAAAAGACAACATCTAAGTAATAAGTTTTCTGTAACCACAAAAGATGCAATTTTATAAATGGAAACAGATGCAAAATATGGACTAAATTTTTATTTGTCTAAAGATAAGAACAAGGTTTGTTGTACCTGGAATATATGGCAATCATATTGAGTTAGTAAAACGGAGAAATAAAACATGGAGGATACAAATATTATAAAATTAAGGAAATGAATGTCCAGTTCGGGAGGTTTTTTAACAGAAGCCATGTCAGTTAGTTCAGACTAATTACAGGATGATATTATTACAAATTGCAAGAAGATACCAAAAGGAGAGCATTCTGAAGCTTCATATTCTGTTTAACTCAATTTTTCTCCTCCCATTGGGAGCAGAAATTTTAAATGCACTAGACAATGTTCTTCGACTTTAAAATGACTTAGTAGCATTAGTAATTCTCGATGTTATGGTAAAGTATAAAGCTGTTTCATACCTCGTCTCCTGGGGAACAAACTGCAAGCACTGCTTGAACGATACTTTGCTTGGCTCCATTACTGACCACAATCTGATCAAGAGAATAAGTAATTCCATTCTCCTCTGCAAAAAAAACAGTCAAGTCACATTGCCAAACTCCCAATCTCACATAATATAATCATAAATAGAACAAAGAAACAAAGAAACACGTAAATCATAAGAATTCCGAAGTAACCTTTTAGCTTGTGACATATTGCTTGGCGCAATTCTAATGTTCCAGAATTGGGGGTGTATCTCGTGTAACCATCACGAATTGCATTCATCCCAGCCTACCATTCCGTACATGTCACGACATGATCATGAATTTATGATACATACAAAATGAAAAGGGACAAAACAAAGAAGAATAAACACTTGTCTTGTCAACTTAACAAAGTGAACTTTACAAAAAACTCACCTCAGCTATCACAGCGGGTGTGTCAAAATCAGATTCTCCACAAGATAAGCGAATAACAGGAACTCCAGATTGTAAAAGAGCAGTGGCATCATCAAATATAGCTAGAGTTTTGGACGGTTTCACGGCATCAACTCTGTGACTCAAAGAAATATCAACGTCTTTGTCATCAAATTCGCAATTAGTCTTTGCCTTTATCACCACAGCCATTCTGTTCAGCTTAATATGTTTTCCTTTATGCATGGCTCTGCAAAGGCAATAAAAGCGTTAACAAGTGATGATGAAGAATAACGACACAAGGGTATTGAAGTCACCTGAGAGGAAGAGTGGATAGGGATGGAAAATCACAACAAGACATAGCGGCGATATGCAGCGCATTGGCCATGGAAATCACAAGTGTAGTTGGATACACCAAGTAAAGAAGGAAAATATTTAAGAAGAGGCAGAGTAAAATGGGGTTGGAGGTGTAGAGTTGACTAAGTGTTATACGAGTATTGGAAAGAAGCAGAAGCAGAGCCCAGGGGATGATGTCTTTTTCTTCAGGTCTTTGTCATCAGACTTAAACAAATAGTTTCTTGTTTGTGTTGCTTATCAATAATATCCATTTCAACTTCACCAACTTAGAAAAACCCTTAAAATATAAATTAACAGATAGATAAAAATCTGTAGTAGGTGGTAGTATTTTTAAAAAGTCCGGTGTACGCTGGGACAGTGTAATAATATTTATTAAAAATTACTTCTTTAAAAAAACAGATAATCTCAGAATGTGCTAACCCTCACCTAAAAGTAAGAAGTATCCACTCAGCATGTAAATTTTGAGATCTCTTACTCAAGTAAAAGAATATTAGTTGCAAATTTTTTTTTCTGACATAAGCATACTTCACAAATAATTCGAGAATGGCAGGTAAAGAGGAACGAGATTCAGATTCAGTGAACGAGCATAAATTTAGATCAACCAGAAATTCGAGATTCACGATTCTTCATTAATTGAATGACAAACAAACCGATGTCACACGTTCTTTGCTTCCAAATTTTGTCATCAAGGAAATTACAAGTATCGTACTCGGCACAGAAAGTTATTCACTGCATGACCTCTACGCCGATCTTGTTGCGAGTGAAAAGGATGAGAACAATAATTTAGAAACATATAAAACGCATAGTCTGTGATTATAGAATAGTATAGTATTTCACTACGATAAGTTCTGTCAAGATAAATTTACATTTTATAGGTGGATACTTATTCACTAATTTCCCTTGCTTCTTCTTTATGTATATGGTATCTTTTCCATTTCAATGATTATTATAACTCCATCCCTCTATCTTGATTTCCTTCAGAAACATTCAAATAGTATTTTCCATTTCATTTAATCATTGTTTTCTGCTGTTTCGTACAGGTATCTTCCCCATAGGCAATATTACTCGGGTCATAATCAGACATTTAATGTACTCTTCCAACAGAAATTCTAACTGTTTGACGATTTGCGAGGGACAAGTACCTTGTGCTATCTCTAATCCTAGCTAATACCATTTTGACTTTAATATAAACCACTCTAATCGATCCATCCCAAATGATCAAATGCATTCTTTAAGAATTAAGATATACAATAGCCTGAAACAATAACACACAATCAAATGAGAACACACGTCAGTTGCATTAAGACTTTGGTAGTACACTTTTATCTCATTTTCTACCAATCATATTCAATACACAGATGCGAGGTCCGATGAGGAAAAAGAAGCTATATGCAAATATCAATCTGCAGCCTTGAAGTAGAATCAACAGGAATAAGCAAACTAAAATACCGAGCTCTTCCTTTTGGGGGCAGGATAATGTCACGAAGAAACCAACACTACAACAATACAATGCCCTTTATGAATTGAATGAATGTAATGCAAGAGTTTGGTTATAATCATTAACCTCTCAATTGTATAGAATTTTGACGCTATCAGGCATTGAAAGCATACAGATGAACACTATATGAACCAAACACACCTAATTATTTTGGTCCATATTTGTACCTATTCTCCAGGCAACATACTGGATATCCCATAGCATGATCAGCAGGAATGAATTCACTGTCGAATGGTTGAGCAGCTATTACCAGTGATTCTTCCTTCTTCATGCTGGTGAGTGGCATTTCTAGGTATTTTAAACAAACACACATCTCCACTAATTCTGCATATAAATAGATCAACATGATATAAGAATATTTCTTCTAGACGTCTTAAAAAATAAATCTTTAAATTGATTTCTCTAGCAATTTATGTGTATTCTATAACAATTATCTTCTAGCCATAGAGTAAGAATGAAGACTCTTGCATGTTTCAAAAAGGCAAGTAAAATCTCCTCCCCCACCCCCTCTTTTCAGCAGAAAAACAAATTCAACCACCACCTTTCTTGTCTTGTAAGAAGTATTCTCTGTATATTTCAAACGATTTGATTTTTGAAAGATTTAACTATCGTATATATAGTCAAGATAAAATTACTTACTCCCCAATAAATTATATTCTTTCTTTTCACCTAAAATTTAATTAATTCACATATAAATATTTATTGTAATGAAGAAATGAAAAAAAATAATAGAAACTCTTATAATTATTTTATTAAGACCAAGAAACTTTATTACATTTCACAGAGCATCTCCGAAACAGATTTTTAAGAAGATTCTTAGAATAAGAATTTAGTTTTTAAATTCTATATTGAAAAAAGATGAGTTGGCTGTCATCTTGGAGAACTAATTCTTGTACAAGAATTCTCAAGCAACTTTTTTTCTAAAAAACAGTTGACAAAGGCGAGAGAAAGACACAAATTTGAAAGTATAATACATTGTGGAACATATTAAAAATGAGTTAAGAACTTCAATTAAATTTTAGCACTGGAGCAAAACAATATTAAAGTACATGACAGTAGACCCAAAAAAATATGTTAAGGATCCAAAATGAGTTTTATCTTTAATGGATGGTCCTAGTTTCCAAAAACATCACCAGAGGGGGTATTTTTTTCTATATTTTAAAAACTGGACAGATCGTTAAATCAATATTAATAAAACTAAAAGAATAATGAAATTAATATTAAAAAAATAATATCTTAATTTTATGATATCAAAAATAAAATAAAAAAATAAAATTTCTAAATCTTCAACATTTAAAATACATATAAAGTTCAACTAAAATGTTCTCATACTTAAATTGAAATTTCAGTGATGTTCATCAATATTTATTAATAATAACAAGTATAGTTATAGTATAAAAAGAAAATTTAAAATATTTCAGATTAATTTTTATTTTTAAGAAAAAAAGTACAAACAATGTATTATGAAATATTTTTTAATTGATTCGGATTTACCTGTTTTTTACTAGTTTTCCGGTTCTTTGACATTATCTTTTCAGACCGGTTTTGTAATTTATTTGAATTTTAATTGGTTACCCAACCGGTTCACCAGTTACTCCCGACTAACTAGTCTGAGCTCCCATTTTCAAAACAGAAGGTATATTTCACTCACAACTAAGTCGTAATATGGTAATACCACTACCTTTCACAAAAACAAGCACCAATGTTGAACGTACAATCAGAAAACTAAAGATTGTTTCATCTTCCAAGTGCATCTCCAAAGCACCAATACAAAGATGTGACTTCTCTAACCCTATCACTCAAGAGAGAGGAGGTAATTTAGCATTGAAGCCAACCGATGATACCCCTCCATAACCAGAAATCACTTATTTGCTGCATGAAAACTTCACCACATGACAATAACCACAAATCAAAACTCAAAAGACTCCATGGTGTTATATATCCAACGCCCCCGTCCTAACTCTGACATTGTAGGCAAGTTCAGGACTATAGGACTCTTACAGTTTACTGAACTAACCATGATACTTAGAAATCTTAGTATTTTCAACCTGAGATGGTTATTTTGCATCCCTCACAACAAACCAAAAGGAAAAATCAAGTAGATTCAAACTAATACTAGGGTTCGGGAGCAAACAAAGGATTTAATAGAAGAAGATATAGCATAATCAACCCGCATCTCAGTACAGCATGCTTCAACTACATCGAGATGCAATGGCTTGTTATTCATTAAAAGCCAATTCCATCAATAAGATACACAGACAGGCCATAGAAGTTATTGAACGGCATGCAAACAAAGAAATGTAGCATTGCATCCTATAAGTTAAACAGCAGCAAACTTAGATGTTGTGTAGATACTGTTAATACTCAAATAATAATTATAATTATGACTCGATAGTTTGTACAAATAACAGTTAGCATCAAAGGTCAACACAAAATTACCCAAATACAACTTCAATTATGATGAAGGTTGCACCAAAACACCAATGAAAGTGTATTTATGTTTTGTCTAATGAAACAAAGAACAGATCGCTGATACATTAGAAGAATAGAAGTTAAAAGCAAAGTGAAAAAAAGAAACTAACTACCTACCTACCGTACATACCTCATGTACGGGTACAAGATGCATCAAAATCGTCAGGTGCAACACGAGCAATCCAACTACTAAGCGTTCTCTTAATATCAGAGTGATTAACATATGCCAATTCATACATACTACACAAATTGACAACAAGCGTTTCATTGAGAGCCACAGTGGGAACTCTCTCAAGCGCACTCTCCAACACCTTAATAGAATCCGACAAGTCCCTAAGATACATCAAGCACAGAGCCTTGTTATTCACGGCCACAACATCAGCATTGTCCCTCTCAATGCACTCCTCGTACTCCCTCACCGCCGACACATAATCCTTACCAACCAAATACACCAACGCTTTGTTCCTATTCACAAGGTTCTTAAACTCAACCTCGCTCAACGACCCATTATTCTTTCCCTCACTCTCCACCTTCAAAAAAGAAACTTTCGCACCCTCCAAGTCCCCAATCTGCAACTGCATGTAGCCAAGTTGTGAAACCAACAAAGGGTCCGAACCATCATCTCGAGAAAGAAGCTCCTTCATCAAACTTAAACACACGCCGAACTCTTTCTGACTCAAATGGTGTCCTATGATGCAATTCACGACAAAAACCTCTCGTTTTCGCCACAGATTAAGGGAGACACCAAGGTTATTGTTTTCCCCTTTTTCCTTAATCTTCCCGCGCACGAAATCAAGGAGAGTGTAGAAGCGATCCATGCCCTGCTGACGTTGCCCTAATTTGATTGGAATTAGGGCGCTGAGCCAACGGAGGGAAAAAGGGACCATTGATCCGACCCGGTTAGGGTAAATTTTCGGGTAGGTTTCGTAGCGGTAGTGCGAACTATCGAGGTCTTCGAGGGAATCGAGTTCCGCGGAGGCTTCGTTGAAACGACGCAGTTTTGTGAAGGCGAGGGCGTTGAAGGCGAGGTAGGTGAGGTGGTCGTGGGGCTTATGGAGGAGAGAGAGCGCGCGGGCGCGTGATACCTTGTCGATTATTGAACGCCACGCCCCGCGGTTCGCGAGGTCTTCAAGGGAACTCATCTCGTGGCACGCGTCCACGTTTTGGCTCGAGAGAGGCTGTGGTTGAGAATCGGAGTTTGCAGATTCCGAGTCCATCGCGACGGCGGCGAAGGAGACTCGACGGAAAGTAACGCCGGTGAATTAACACGGATCTCGCCGGAGTCAGGGAAAAAATAGTTCACATTACAGAAGCAAGGGGTTCAGCTGCGTTTGTTGGTCAATGATTTTTTATTGGGCTTGACCCACGTTTTTAGGCCCATAAACTACAATTTATAGAATCTTTTCGGCATATTCTTTCAACACCCTAATAATTTCTTCCATACTCCCATGATATATTAAGATACAAAAATTCTTCGTCTCACTTCCATCACTTTGCATATCTCTTTTGTTACCTCATTCACCTTTATTTATGCATTATTTTTATTTTAAAATTAAAAATTTAGTAGTAATTTATTCTTTGAATCATATAATGTTATATATAAAAAAATTATAAAAAAATTATACGATTTATATCTCTAATATTTTAAATTGTTGAATTCAAAATAGATTTGAAAAAATACAATTTCAAAGAAATTCTGGATAAGCTAATCGATAATATATTTTTGGATTGTATTTTTTAAAAATAAATTCTAAATTATTGAATCAGAATACTATTTTAAAAAATACATCCAAAAATACATTTCAAAAAATATATTTTTTTTGAAATTTTTTCATAATTTTTTAGAAATGTTTCAGAATCGGATTTTTTTTTTAATGTTTTAAAATCAGATTTTTAGAATATATTTCTAAAAATTACAATCTTTTTATATGAAAATATATTCCAAAAATCATAATTTAAAATATTTTTATAATAAACTTTTTCAAATATATTTATATTAAGAATAATATTATAAAAAAAAACATGAAATACAGCAAGAAACAGTCATCTTTTCTCTTTCACTATCTAAAAGTAAAATATTTTAAAGAAAAATAATTTTAGGATGATTGCTTTGTATATTAATTTAATGAAAAATGTTATTGAATGGTTTGTTTAAGTAGTTCGTTTTCAATGAAAATTTTTATTTTTGGAGATTAAATCGATCTCTCACTTATATATCTACTATTTTTTATTCTTTCCGAGCATAATTTAAGCACTATTATATGCACTCATCTCTTTATACTTACATTTATTTAAGTTCTTAATTATCCTAAAAAAGTCATATATATATATATATATATATATATTCATTTATTTATTAAATTCAAATTATTTATTTATAAAATATAAAAATTTAAGAGATAATTACATTATTACGTTGAAAATAATAAAAAAATTAAAAATAGGTAAATGTGTAACTATAATAAATTTTATTTAAATAATGAAAATAAGTAAAATCACGCCATTACCATCATATCACCTTATAGATGTTTGATATATAAAAATATGTAAAAACGAAAGATAAAAAATTATATTAACAGTGAAAATTTTAGAGTAATTATAATAATGATCTTACTATTATAATAACATGCCTTATTAGGATTATAAATATAGTTCTTAAAAACCTCCTGAATTTGGACAGTTGCATATCCCCTTATATGGTTTTGGTTGTAAGATATATTTGCCCAAAATGTTTAAATAATCAAACTCTTACCTTGTCTTATGTATACGTGGGATTTTGTCATTAAAAAAAATTGTTTATAATTGTTACATAAATAAATGACGAAGGTTAGCAATTTTAACACATTAAATTCATTAGAATTAAAAAGATATTTATTTAATAATAAGTGAGACTTACAAAACTTCACGATATCTTATTAGTATTTCTCTAAATAAATACATAATGTTTGGTATAGTATACTGTTAGATCGAGTGGTAAACCAAAATTTACGTCAAAGGATAATTGATGGTAATGGAATGTAAACTTCTTCCAAACTTCAAATAAGATAGATATAATACAACTTTTTAAAAATATATTCCATGGTTCAACATGTCAGGCATCTGAGCAAGGTAAAGTGTACCTACACTACTGTCATTGCATTTAGCCCTGAAGAAAACTAAGGTCAAGCCACAAATCATGCATAAAGAGTCTGAAACAACACAACTCATCAAACCACAAAGGTTGCCTCCTTAAACAAGTAAACAACCTAACATCAATCAAGACTACACACTGCAAAACTACACGGTTCAGTGGCCATTAAAGCCCAAAAGTTAACAAAAGCAACTTCTCTTCATATTACTACACACTATAGCAGAAACAAGTACTCCTTAAAATATATCTAAAACTTGAAATATACAGTGCCGTGTGAAAAACAGTAAAATACCATTTGTTTTAGTTTACTTTTCTTATACTAGTGTCTACATGATAGAACATGCGTTTGGGTTTTCATCACTGAACATGGTGGTGTATGGATCTTGATATGTTGTCACTGTTCCAATGGTGGCAGAGTTGTCCACTCTCCTCACATATCCCGGAGGAGCCTTCTTGTCATAAGCTTGAATAGAATAAGGATTTGCCACCATGTTGTAAGGCACGTAAGGCCATATCTCAGCCTTCTTCCCTGTTGACTTGGCCTTCTTTAGGACCTTGTTTGGTTCCACATAACCAGTTACGGTCACTTTCTGCTGTTTCCTGTTTATCTCCACCGATTTCACTCCTGCACTTACACCACCATTTTTTAGCATCATGACCTTCATGTATGTTAAACTGTTATATTGGACACACTTTTTAACATCAGAAATTATAATATGATTTTATACTATTATAATTTCATCTCTACATGTTACATATTCCAATGTAATTATTTTTTTTCTTATAAATTGAAAATTTCTATTATATATCAGATAAAAGTTAGTCAATACCATAGATGTATGAATAGAATATATTCTCCTTTCAGAATACGTATTGTAACATATCATAAACTAAATTTTATTAAAAACCATGAAATATATACTCAGCATTTAGAAATATAGAAGCTGAGTAGAATAAAATTGAGGGAAAACGTAACTTACCATCTAATGAAGATAGAGTTTTCTTAACCTTAAGCACACAGCCATCACAATCCATCGTCACCCTCAGCTCTACAGTCTGTAATTGCTTCTTGTTCTTGGTGTTGTGTTGGTTGTTGCCACTGCCTGTGCCAATGAAATCAGACAAGTAATTTCCGACTCCCATTTTTATGTATTTAGTATCAAAAGCAGTAAAATGGTTTTCACTTCAGAACAAGACCACTTGCCAATGGATATGAAAGCAAGTAAAGTTCTTGAGTAGAGAAAATTAGTAGGTTTCAGAAGGTTTGAACATTGATGGTGTTGGAGATGAAATTATATTATACATATATATAGAAAAAGCAAGGTCCAAAACCAGAAGAAGTTACAAGGAACTTTCTTGAAAAACAGAAAAAGATTCCTTACTTACCTTCTAATGATCCAAAACTAATGCTGGTCTTTGAAGAACTTTTTTTACTTACCTTGAGACATTTTTTACCACATTGGCCAAGTAATTACTTGTTGGCCTTTCACCAGATTCAATCATATACATGAATGGAAAGGTATGGCCCTATCTACTTATGGCAGTAATGAAACAAGAGCCTTAAAATGGGTGGTAACTTGAGAATGGAGAAAAATTTTACGTGGGGTTCAAGAAAGTAGATAAGAAGAAACACGTTCCTGTATCATGCATCTTTCATTCGCAAATAAATAGTAAAAATTATTGCACTGCTTGTGGTTCAGATGACACTTGACAAAGTTATTTATTATATATATAAAAAGAAATTGACATATCAAATGACAGCTAATGAGAACCCTCTGATTGTGTCTTCAATTCAAATGGAAGAGCAATAATTTATTAAGGACGAAAGTGAAACTCAGAAAGCAGCCACCGACTAAGATATCCGAATGAACAACATAATGTGTAACAGTGAATGATGATGGAGATTGAATTTGAAGTGCGTCAAGTACAAGCATTTACCACCAATGTGATAAAGATATTGCAGCAGTTATGAGCCTTTCACCTCCATTAAAATTCCATTCAATTAAAGCAAACAAGCTTTACATATATGTAATAAAGTTTATAGTAACAAAAAGGTTTTGCATGTCATGGTTCTGGAGGAATGGGAAGTGTGGACCTTGGTTTCGTAGTATATCATTCCTAATGAAGAAACTGAGCAAGATAGATAATTAGTCTCTTCTTTCAAAGTTCTTTTCCCATCTTGTTTGAATTTGGGATATTTGATTCTCAATTATATACTTTTTAGGTAAAGCTAACATCTTAGCCTCTGTTTCTAAGATATTTCTGTAAAGGGAACCAAAAGAAGCAATTTGAATTATTGAAGTAACTCATTGTATAATCTGTTTGCAATTAGCAAAAGCTGGTGAAAGCTCGATCTCGCTTTCGGAAAACAAAAAACAGACTAATAATAAGGAAAAGATTCAAAGAAAAAATGCAACTAAACAGTGGGTGAAAAAAAAAATGTAAATTCCATAAACATATTAAGATGCAATAATTTGTGGAAGAAATAAAATAAGTTTATTTTTTTCATAAGTTAAAATTAACTTTTCGATTAATAAGTTTCAGGATTCGATATATGGTTAACTTTTGTTTTCACTGCCAAATAATTATTTTTTTTAATTGAGTACCTAATAATTAAAGAGTTTATTTGTGTTATGTTATGTGTCTCCGCTTTATTCATCATATATCACTTAAGTTATAATCTAAGAAGTACTTTGAGAAACTAAAAGAAAAATATAAATATAGTTGCAGATCAATGAAAGTCACATAAAAATATAACGAAATATAAATAAACATTTTTTTAAGAACGTAAACCAAAAGTTTATAAATTATTATATATTAACTTGAAAAAGAAAATAAATTATTAGATACTCAAAATAAAAATCAATTATATATTAATAACTTGACGTTTATTTAAATCTTGAATTTTTTTTCAAAAGTTTTGTTTAGTTTATTATATCTAATAGATGTATAAAATTAATGTTAAATTATAAGAAAAAAATGATTTGTTCATTTTCTTACAATCAAGTGTCTTGTTGGAAAAAATAGGTTAAAATCAACTAATGGTGGATTTTAAACAGCTCAATGAAACTGAAAGCATAAACTCCATATATTGCATATCCAATATATAAGTGAAATTGCATATTAAAGTTTACGTTTGAGGAGGTAGTTGAGAAGATGAACATGAATTGTACCAATAATGTACCTCGAGCTCGAAAAGAGCAAAAGGTCTAATCATTCTATATTTACACACAAAAAGAATAAGATAAATAAGATGTGAGTAACATAATATTGCTCGTTGTTGCTTTTAGAAACTTGATGTGAACATATACAAATGAGGCTTCCATTTATGAAGTTCATACATATAGCGTGTTTAAACTTTAATTTGGAGGGAGAAGCATTTGATTGGTATATTACATGTGCTTTCTTCTTGCTTTTGGATTCTAGATAACTCTGTCTACCGTGGTGTGTATTTTGTGTCCAAGGGAGGATTTAATATTGTCATGTTTTTTAATCAGTACTGCACTTGTATTTATAATTACATTAATATATAATTCGTACTCATTTGTTCATGTAAAAAAAGTTGGTTGCGCAAGAAGAGATTAATGATTTTTTTTTCTTCATCAGATAAAATCCCACATAAAATAAAATTATTTAACTGTAATAACTAATTGCCATAATTTTTCAAGCAATTATTTTTTATAGTAGGATACTCGTTCTGTTATTGTACAACGTGCATATTACTTTATAAAAAATATCTTGTCAAATCCTAGGCATCTTCTTCATTTATTTCATGATCCGTTTGGGCTACCTTGAAAATCAGAGAGAAGAGGTTGACATCAATATTGATGAAAGTGGAATGGTACAAGCTACCATCACACTTGTTGCCATAGCATTAATGTTAATACAAATCCAATGAACTCACTTTGCTTTGTCAACTAGTAGTCCAATGGATTATTTTGTGGTTGGCTTAATAATGAATAGAAGTCAAAATTTAGCCGGCTTACAGTAATAGTGACATGCAATGTTTAACGAAGCTGCGTCAAAAACAATAATAATTACAGCAGCAACAGGACTTAACACAATGCATGTCTGATATCGTTTTTACTTGAGAAATAAATTATCTCCAAAAGATCTCTAACAAAATTTAAATAAGAAATTTAAATTTAAATAAGAAATTTAACGTATAAAAGTGGAATATTTCTGATTTGTTTTTTCCTGCCCAAATCGAGGATATTAATGTTTTTTAATTTGATATTTATTATTATTATTATTACAAGTTTTTATATTAGCAACTAATTAAAAATTATATTATTTTCAAGTTATTTATTGTCAAAATTAACAAAACTTAATTTACATAATATTGTGTAATCGAGTGTTTTCGGAAACCCATCTAATAATCATATCAATTTTTCACATACGGACAAGTACTATGTTGTTGCTTTCAGAGAATGCAAGTAAAAGTGAAGACTAACATATAAACAAACACTCACCAATTGATAATATAAAAAATATATTAAATGTACATAACATTATTTTCTCAGTGTTAGAAATTTTTATCCATCAAGCCAATCGGTCTATTATTACTTTGATGCTTCACTTACTATAACTAAGATAAACATTATATTATATTATCTAAAAATTAGTAGCTTAGATTATACTTCGTAGTTCATTCAGTCAAATGGAAAACACCGGTGCATCATATTGTCCATATGATTACTAAACTAAACTAACTATGCACTTACTAAAATTTGCATCGGAACTAGCTTTCGTAGCAAGAACCATTAGCCCTTGATTATTATTAATGTGATTTTCATGCCCCAAACAACAAAAATATTCCAAGATTTTTGGATAAAAAATAAGTCCAGGTTTCTTATTTATTCAGAGCATTTAAATTAACGCAATCAACAGAGTAACATATGAACAAGTTGATTGAAAAATGAATTAAATAAAAAGGCAGTCTTTAGGATAACACCAGGCAAATTAATTTACATAAGCCCACCCGTCCAAAAGCGGGGCTAACAGATATTGGTCCAGTACGTGAGAGGAATCTAACATGCTGACAAGGTTGAAAATAACAGCATTGGATGGTGTAAGATCTAAAATACATACAAAGCTAGGGGGACAAAATGAATACAGACTTGGATATACATGTAAGCTATCTAGACATATATATGAATAGGAATGCGACGGTCTCAGTAAAAGGCAGACACAAGTTGAAATAGAAGAAACAAATAGCAGTGCCAATGTACCCGGCATGATGAAATCATCCGAGACGAAGCGGCTGAAGGTTTGTGGGGAGCTCTCCCAGCAACAGCTGGGGCAACTGCATGCCCGTTCGTTCTTTGTTGCTCGTCTGTAGGTAAGGGATTTGAAGAAGTCTCATTTGGAGAAAGCGGCATCCTCTTACCTAGACTAAGATCCTGACCTACACATACATGTAGACAGTGTATAAGGCTTATAAGCAAACAAATTGAGGCAAAGTTAAGGTTTTGAAAAAAGCCTTGCATCAGGTAAATAGCTAAAAGACGAAGTCAGCTTCATTGCCTAAGAAGAATGATTAGAATTATAAAATATATTAAGCTCATAAAACTCAAAAGTCATATGACTCACAATTTGAGCGAGACCACGCTAGCTTCTTGTTTTCCCTATCAAATACCAAACGGTATCCTGTCATGAAGTTCTCTGCAAAAAGATTTTAAGATTAAAGTATCGATGAATAATTAATACTATATCCCATATTTCAGAGTACGGGTAATCAGTTGACGTTGACTAGGAAAATTACTTACGTCCAATTGCTCCCATATCCCCTTCAGTTGGCTGTATGGCTAAACAAAATCCAATGACTCCCTGCACAAAAAGAACCGGTCTACCTCACTTAGCTACAACTATTACAAGAGAATCGTCACTTATTTTTCAGAGAACAATTTCTATTAACATTTATAACGGATGCAACAGATTCCTAGAAAAAATTATATTTACAAGAGCACATTTCACATGCTAAATCGGTGCAGCAATCCCTAGAAAACATAATATTAATCCCTAGAAAAAGTAATACAAATAGAAAACATTTTCACAAGGCAACACAAACGAAGTGTTGCACAAGTTATGGCTTATGAATTTGTTGAAAGTTGGTTCACAAACTAAGAAAATAATACAACAAAATACTGTTACAATTCAATTTTCCAATAAATTCATGCACTGCCTCATTAGAACAATTGGAGATAGAGATGAAGATTCAAAGCAGTTCAGATCTGTTTGGCCTCACTAATGAGCATGGAAGTCAGATAAAAAAAAAAGGTGAAACTTGGGACTTGGACCAGAATGGTAGTAAAAAATAAAAATAAAAAATCTGTATAAATAAAACTATATTTTGATACAAAATCCATTTTGTTATTGCAAAGTGGAACTTGAGAATATATTCATTCGGTGTCCACATACAAATATAAGTGCAAACAGACAGTTCGTACTTCTTTCTCATGGGCTACACAAAAGCTAGTACTTCTCAACTGAAATTCGCTTCAAATAATTAGTTAATGCAATAAGGATAATGATATGTCCTCTTTTATTATTCTAATAATTTGTAAAGAAAGCAATTAGTTAAAAAATAAATGCGTTTAATTTCTCAAAAATATTTAATATCTTCTTTATTGAATCAGTAGGAGGATTAGCAAGAAGATGTCAAAAGAAGAATTAAAATGATTTAAATATTATATAGGGAAAACCTAGGTCCAGGAGCACTTAATTCACACCCACCTCATTGCCATAGAATACAAAAACGGGATCATAGACCACAAAACTGTTATTCTGTTGGAACATGAGAGTTAAGCTGGGAACCTTTGGCAACTCTTGTGAACTGTCCCCCAAAAAATAAGAAATATAAAGCCATCAAAGAGACTAGAAACTTCTGGCAATTAGGAAATCATGTACCAAAAGAGACAAAGGCAGAGATCTATCACGAAAACCCACCTGGGTACATAACAATACTCCCAAGGAGATCCTTCAAAGCTAGATCTTGAACCATTTACTAGTTGATCAAACTATCACAGATAAAATCATATTAAAACACTGAAAAGAAATTTATGATTATGGAATTAGGAAAATTATAAGTACCTCCTCGGCTATTGCTCCATAAACATGGCCAGGAAGAAACGTAAAAGACGTGCCGCTATCAACCTGTGCTTTAAAACTTGTCATTTTAAGACAAGAATTCCCAATACAACATGACTCCACTCCAACAATGTACGTTGAACTGACCACAAGATTTATCATAATTAGAATGGCACTTTTTTCTAAAGTATTTCAGTGTAGTTAAACATGGTAAACTAATTTAAAGTACGGAATTCCATACTATGATCCATCCAAAGGCAAGAATTGAGTAGACTGTTGGATGGTTGGTCCCTGGTCCCCAAAAAACATTCTACCAGAATCATCTTCATTAAAGCACAAGGAAAAAGAATTGTGAATTAGTCCTGATTTGGCTAGAAAACTTGGAACTGAACTTTCCCCAGGTCCCAAGCCTAATAGGCCATCGGGGGCAACCCCATTCAAATAACCACCACTTTGCTTCATACCACACCTGCATTCAACAAACTTGACTCAGACAAACCCAGGAGGTAACTTGCTTTTCAGAAATAGCAGTAACAGAAACATCATCAGGGAAATTGATGTTGTAGTGAAAAGGAACAGGATAGTCAGCCACACCCTAGAACAACTGGGGCCTGAACAGACAAGTTTGATAAACTGCCACCCGACTGAAGATGCAATATGTCCTCAACTAACAGTCCAGAACTCGATGTATTCTCTGACAAGTAACTGACCATGTACGGACACTGCTGCTGGGAACTTTTACAATTCGAACCCTTATCACACAACTGATGACTGCAAGATAGATGCTTACTGGATAACGATCGAGACGGACTATACTCATTCAGATCTCTATCCTGCATAATAGATGCCCCATATGTGAAGGGGCACCTGCCAATCAATTACTGGAAATAAGTGCTAAACCTGTTATAGACTCTAAACCTCACTGAATCATAGCACCCAGAAGGGATCCATGTTTTGTGTTAGTGTCATATTCCACTCCAATTGAAACCTTATCCAATCAAGGATTTGAAATTGGCTTCATTCACTATTTTAGAAACAATCACTAAAACAAGCTAATACAATCAAATATTGTATTATTAACCTTATCCGATCAAGGATTCACAATCCGCATCATTAACTATTTTTTAAACAATTAATAAATCAAGCTGATACATCGAGTATTGTATTATTGCATTAAGTCATTAAGACTACAAGTTACATAGTAGAGTAAACAGACATTTTAGTTCCTGTAAGTGTAACTAGTACATTAGTCCTCAAACTAAGTCCATCAAAGTACAATCAACAAACAATCAAATTAGTGCAAAGTTCAGAAAAATGCGAGTTAAATGATAATATTGACATATATTTAAGAACTTAAATGTCAAAACCAACTAGAGACTAATTTTAAACTTCCTTAGTTAAGAACTAAGGTAACATTACGCTTAATCACAGTTACTCTACATGGTAAGAGAAATCAAAGAAGAGATAGATTAAGCATCATATGCATACCAGATTGGAATAGTAACTCGATGACAATGGAGCACACTGTTCGCAATCACACGGAATCCAAAGAAGATCACTTCCCGCGTCCAACGCCACAAGAAACGAAGTACTCGGTGTTCCTATATCAATCCACGTGTAATGTAACCTAATCACCGGAGATATATATCAGATTCAAAATAACGGCGTTTCGCACAACGAGAAAAAACAGAAGAGAGACGAGTTGGGGATTAGTAATATCACCAGCGGAAGTCGTTGCCCAGAGACATCGTTTTGCTACCATGAGAAGGAAACAGAAGCTGGTAGCGAGCGTCTCCGAGTTTAATCTTGCGTCTGAGAATGTCGTCGGCGAGAAGCACCTGGTAGTATCGCATGCTCCGCCGGTCTGGCCAGTCGCCGGTCGGAATTCGAACCGGTTTGATTTCGTCAGCGAACCGGTGAACTAGGCGCGAGGAAAACGTGATCGGAAGCGGCATTGCGCGTGCCGTTACCTCCATCAACCACAACAACAGCAGCAACGGCCACCGCATCGAGATCGAGATCTGGCAGTGGCACTTGTTCCGATGCCTCGGCGTAACAAATTAAGTATGAGGATTAGTGTTGACTAGTGAAGTGAGGGTGCGCAGTGTGCATCATCGTCGTCGATCGTTTGGTTTCGTCCCTGTGTGGCTGTGTGACAGTGTGAGAGTGTGAGTGGATAAAACAAAGAGTGAAAGAAAGTGATGCATATTTTGTTGGTGGTGGAATTTAACTGTTTAGCGCTTAATTAACGGGGAAAGTGGTTTGAAGAGATATGATTAGTGTTTGTAATAGTAATGGTTGAAAATGATGATTACGATAGGAAGAGTAAGTGCACAACACAACAGTGCCGCGACGAAGCGAAACGTCACGCGCGGTGGCCCACCGTGTCTTTACGTGCTTGAGAATATAAAGGGCTTTCATTGCCGGTGTCGATTTGTCTTTGCCACTGTGGGCTCTCCGCATTTACTTTCATTCCCTTCCTTCTACTAAAATAATAAAAAACAAACAAACATATAAAGCAAAACTTTCTTATTTTATTTCATTGCATAAAAAATAAACTTGAATAAATGCCTCGATAGTAAAAAATCACGGATGAGTGGTGTGTAAACATAATAAGGATGGATCCAACTATTAATTGTTTCTAAACGTTATTAATTATGGAAGAAACCATAATGAGACATGATAATTTTGTTTCCCGAATTTAACTCCCTGAAGGAGACGTGTTTTTAAAAGACACAGTGGGATTACAATAATTAATAAAAAATATAAAGACTATAGTTTTAAGTTTTTTCATTTTCATCTAAATCTCAACATACTTGCGCCTCAAAATTAATTCGTTAAAATTTCAACTTTTCTTCTAAATATAAACCGCTACTTGTGTTTCTCCATTTTCCTCTAAGAAAATTGATTATAACTGTGCTTATTGAAATTAATGGTATACTCTTCTATAACTTATAAGTTAAAATATATTTATTTTTTCATTCACTTTATTTAAATTAAAAATATTCACACAATACTATATACTTACTTGATAGCTTGAATTAATATTTCTCCATATAAAATAAGGTTGTCATATATATATATATATATATATATATATATATATATATATATATATATATATATATATATATATATATATATATAAAAGAAAGAACACTAAGTATACCAATTGTTTTTTCTTCCCCTCTAATTATTTTCTTATTGAATAAATTTTATAAATAATATATTTTAAAAGAAAAATTACTCAAATAAAATATTTATCAATTTATTTATTTAAACAAATTTATTTCTTGTTCAGTTTTTTTTCTCTTCATAATTTTTTTTATTTTTTATTTTTTCGTTGTTCATTCCTTATTTATCTTTTTTCTTCTGTCTAATATTTTGTTTCTTTTTCTTTTTTTCATTTATTTTTCTAATTAAATTTTTCATTACAATTTAATAAAAATATAGTAAAATAAATAATTTTATTTACATAATATAAATAATTATTTTATCATAATAAATAATTACTTATTTAATTAAAAAAATATTAAATATTTATGAAATAAATAAATTTTATTTAATCATTTAATTTAATTATAATTAAATTGAGATATGATAATTAGTTAAATTAACTAATTTTAAAAAACATTATTAAAATAATTTTTTAATAATTATAACATAATAATAATATTTATAATATTTTAAATTTATTATATAATATTTTTAAAATATAATATATTTAATTATAATATTTCTGGATTATTTAAATATTTTATTTTTTAATAATAATAAAAAAATTACTTTATCAAAATTTAATCTATTATTTTTTAATTGGAGAGAATGAAGTGAGAAAAAAAAGAAAAAAATATTAAACAAAAATAGAGAAAAGAAAATTCTAAAAAGTAAATAAAATAAATAAATAAATGAAAAAAATACGAAAATATCTGTAATATATCATATTAATTTATTTTTTTCATTTTAAGTGTTGTGTATTAATAATAAACTGATGTAATTAGATAAATAAATTTTAAAAAAATTATTTAAATAATTTTTAAAAAAATATATTATTTATGAGAATAAATGTCTCTTTTGCAATTATGTGTTCGTAAATCACAAAAGTAGGTAGTGTGTTGTGAATGCAAGTTGATTCTTCCGTTCTTTTTTAATAGTCTGGAATGTCAAGTTCACTCCCTTCTTTTTAAGAAATTTAAAATTTCTTGAACTAACCAAACAGTCACCCCTTTTCGTCGACTTTGACGGATCTCTCTGCCTGATCCTCTACCCACTTTCCGTTCATGACTACGGCTAAACATGCTTAAATGAAATTTTTCTTTAATTTCAGATGAAAGGAAAACATATTTGTATTGTGTATCACGATGAAAAACATATTTTTAAAATAATACTTGGAATGCTTTGTAAAAATTAAAGGAAGTTTTAATAAAAATTACTTCTGTATCACATATTAATTACTTAAAAATTATATAGTTATTTATATAAATAAATTTTTTCTAATTTTAAATAACCTGATATCTATAATAAAATATATTTTTTTCTTAAACCATTCTTGATTATGTTCTTAGTGTCTCATTTAAATTAATTTGTTTTTTTTTTGTATATTTATGCTTTGTGCAATATGTTAAAGATTATGAATTAATTAATTTTTCTAATCTTGATCATTCAAATAGAATTTTTAGTCTAAAATTTTTTACATGAGAAAGTGTAAGTGATTCGAAAATATCTAAAAGAGCTACCTTTATATATCCCTTATAATTATCACAAAAACTGAGTCCCATAGTTTCTCATCTATTACAATTCAAACCTTATGGGGTGTTGTTATATGTCATTCTGTTTTATCTTTTAATAGTTAGTTCCGCAATAAAAGTGGAAATTAGATAAGATTTATTTTCTGTTTTATCTTATAATAGTTAGTTCCAAAATAAATGGAGAAATTAGATAAGATTCCTAGGGACCATAGGCTATAAAAAAGTCATTCTTTGTAAAGTCAATCATCATTCAGAAATTGAAAAAGAAGTTTGTTTCTCTTTCATCTTTTTGCATCAGAGAGAAGAGAGAGGTAGGGAAAGGTAAGAATCTTTCTTTACAATTGGTATCAGTTGAAAGGCAACGACCATGGTGACCAACAAGGAACTCGAAACGCGTGTGACATCCTTTGAGAAATCTCTTGCAGATTCACAAGAACAAACGAATACGACATTGTTGGCGATGCAGAAAACTGTGCAGACTCTAGCAGCTTCCGTGGCGGCGTTAACAGCAGGAACCAACATTCCACCTCCGAACGACGATGAAAGCGAATCTACTACGTCAGTATTACATCTAACACAACTCCAATTTCCCAATTTTGATGGCACAAACTTTAGGGTTTGGCGAGCCAAGGCAGAGCAATATTTTGAATTAGAAGGAACACCAGTAAACCAAAGAGGGAAACTGCTCCTGTTATCCATGGAAGGCAACGCCTTCGCATGGCAACGACATTACATCAAAAACCCCAACTTCAGGTCGAAATCTTGGACCGATATCTTGCTTGATGTAGGAAACAAATTTGATGATGGAGCCTACGATGACCCTATTGCTGAAATCTCGCGATTACGGCAACAAGAATCTTTGCCTGAATATCTTGAAAAATTTGATTCTTTGCTAGCGCGTGTGGTGATCTCCGAAGGCATGGCTCTCAGTTTCTTCCTCGCAGGTTTGGAAAGTCATTTAGAGAAATCAGTTTGTCTTCATAACCCCAAATCCATCCAAGAAGCAATACGTCTAGCACGATTATAGGATGATATTAATAAATAATTAGACAAGAAGATCTCTACAGAGAAATCAGTAACTTCCAATGTGCAACCTCGTTACACAAGACCATGGCTTAATCAACCATTCACATCCAGAAATCCACCCATCACAACACTACAAAATCATTCTCAGAATTCCACGACTAATCAAGCTTATCCGGACTCTAAGGGAAGCTCAACTTCTATTTCATCTACAAAAGAGGCTAGTGAGAGAATCTCCAAAGGATTGTGTAGATTTTGTGGTGAAAAGTAGGAGAAGAATCATAGATCGAGATGTAAAGTTTGGGGAAAATTAAATGCGATTTTTTGTGCCCAAGAAAACTTCAATCAAGAAAACACAGATGTTAGTGAAGATGAAGATGATGAATCTATAGTAGAAAATAATTTAGCAATGTTGCATAGTGATAATGTGCATGTTTCTTTACATGCTTTGAGGGGTATAGCAGGTGGCAACACACTTCAGTTGCAAGGTCTCATTAAAAAACAAGCAGTACCTTTCCTAATGGACACCGGAAGCACTCATAATTTCATCAGCGCTAAGTGGGTGAAGTTATTGGGCTTAAAAACTCAACCTGTTAAAGATTTTCCAGTTGTGGTTGCTAGTGACACACCTATTACGATCTCAAGGAAATGCGAAAAGCTAACTTGGAAATTTGGTGCACATAGTTTTACAACAGATTTTCTAGTGTTACCGGGCACAACATTCGGCATAATCCTTGGCATGCAATGGTTTCGAACATTAGGTGAAATTGCTTGGAATTGTGCTAAGTTAACCATGAAATTCCAGCATGAAAGGAACACTATAACATTACAAGGAGAGACGCATAACAAGTTACTGCTACAGGATAGTGGAAAACTTAAAGCAATTGATATTCAGGCAATGTTGAAAGTGATACTAGCAAAGATCTCAGTGATTTGATGAAGTCAAAGATAAAGTCAAAGGTCAACTCTGAAACAGTCAAACAAGTCACTCAGAAGAATGGAGCTGAAGACTTAGTGTGTCTTATCAGAAAGCTTAGGTAAAACCACTTTACCTTTTTCACTGCATGAAGCTCCTTCACTCAATTTGCAAAATGCCTCAAAAATAGTTTTAAACAAATCAAACAAAAGCATTTTGACAAAGAATTTTCTTAACAATGTTTTTAACTGATATAGTTTTAAAAGACAGTATTTTAATCGATACAAACTTCTTTTAATCGATTAAAACCCTTTATGACCGA